CTAGCTTCCTTGTTAGCGTACGACTGATTTTACTAGTCTGTACTAACAGAAATGCCTAGCATGTGATGGGGTGTTATAATGCAACAGCCCACCTCCCCCAGAATGGAGCTCTATAGCTCCCAGGAATCACTTAGGTCAACCATCGTTGTTGAGGGCCTTATTTACATTTATTTATTTACATTTACAGTCCACCCTTCATAATATTGCCCTGCCATAAATATCACTTTTACAAAACCACTAACAATAAAGCATCAATAGGAAAGTCAATCCCCCTTCAAAACAAAGTAGAAGAAAATTAGCATCACTGTGATGTAGAAGTTAAAGTATTAGGACTGGAGAGACCCAAATTCAAGTCCATACTCATCTAAAGAAGTTCACCAAATGACTTTGAGCCAAGCACTCTCAGGAGTGGATTAGGACTGGAGAGACCCAAATTCAAGTCCATACTCATCTAAAGAAGTTCACCAAATGATTTTGAGCCAGGCACTCTTTCTCAGCTTAACTAGAGGACTATCACTGTTTGGGGGGAAAAAAAACACCAAAGAGAAGAGTGCAACGCATACCACCTTGAATTTCTAGAGAAAATGCTTAATTTCCAGAGAAAAGAGAAAAAGGAGAGCCGGTTTGGTCTAGTGGCTAAGGCACCAGGCTAGAAAGCAGGAGACTGTGACTTCTAGTCCTGCCTCAGGCATAGCCAGTCACTCTCTCTCAGCCTAACTCACCTCACAGGGTTGTTGTTGTGGAAAAATAGGAGGAGGAAGGAGTATTAGGTATGTTCACCACCTTGAGTTGTTTATAAAAATAATAAAGACGTGATAAAAAAAACTTTTTAAAAAAAGGTAAGATAGAAATCTAACAAACAAACTTTTGTCTGGGCCGGAAACCAAAATCCAAAATGTTAGCCCTGCTTGCAGCCAGTGTGCTTCCGCAGCACTATCGCCAGAGGATGGGAGAAAGCAGCTTACCTCAGGATCTAAGTCTCTGCAGAACAAGAGAGGCGTCCCCGCAGATGGCCAGATTCGAGCCGCTTAGGACGTAAGAGGTGGGCTCAACCCAGGAGGGGACGGGCAGCTGGCACAGCTCTTTCAGATGACCCCTGACCCCTCTTCCCTGGCAGCCACCTTAAGCATCAACCGGCCTTCCCAAACCGCTGTTAAGGGCAGCCCCGCGCAGGGGAGGAGCCCCACCCGGCGGCCAGTCCTGGAGCTCGGCGGACTCCCCGAGCTCTCGCACCCACCTCTGGAAGCTCCTCTTGGCCACCACCTCCGCGTGACTATCGTTGAGGACGTCCCCTGTAAAGCAGCGGCGGCGCGACCGGGTCAGAAGAGCCCGGGGGAGCCAGCGCGGCCCTCGCGTTGCTCCGCGCGCCTGCGGAGGGCGCGCGGGCCCCGCCGCCCGGCTTACCCGTCTCCCGCATCTCGGACTGGCCGATGCACTTCGTGCCGGTTCCCATGGCCACGACCTCCTTCACGGCTGCGGGGGAAGAGCAGGCCACACGATGCGGTG